TTAGGGCCACCTGGGTGGTTCAGTCAGTTAAGCATCGTCTGACTCTTGGTTTCAGCTCCGATCATGAGCTCACAGTTTGTGAGACTGAGCCCCATCCCATGTCAGGCTCTGCACTGAGAGATTCTGTCTCTCTCCTTCTCTGTCTCCCTCTCCCTTGCTCATGCTCGTGCTCTCTCTCTCTCTCTCAAAATAAATAAACTTAAAAAAAAAAGTCTTAAAATAGATGGTCATTTCTCTCATTTGAGGGGTTTTTTTCCTAGTAGGCAGGGAGGGGCTCACCCAGAGTAGTGACTTCTTACCATTGTTTACAGTTGGCAGTGTTTTTCCCTTTAGTCTTTTCCTGTAACAGCCTGAGGCGGCATCCCCTCTGTCTAGTAGAAGAGGTGCCTGGTGAGTGGTCTAGAAGGCCAGGGCCTTTTCACACCCCTCCCCCTCTTGCCATAGGCACAGTGTGTAACACAAAAAGTGACTGGCATTGAGTGTGGTCTGTTGCCCTCAAAGAGGTCACCGCCCTGCTCTCAGTGGGGCACTTGGCTTTGTTGGGTGAGCGCACCTTCCAGGGGGTCCTCCTTTGATCGGTGGCGTGGATTTGGTTGATGGTTGGCCAGACGAAGGAACGTAACTGACATGGGGACAAAGCAAAGGCGGTTGGCCTGTGTTTGAGTTTACTGACTTTCTTATGAAAGACTACCCAGAAGTTCTGTTTTTTCCCCGCGGTGTGGAGTGGTGTTATTGAACATGAATAGATTGCAGATATTTCTTTATCTTACTCTGCAGTGTGTAAGTTTTCCAGTATTTCCAAATGTTACACCTTTTAAGCACGTGGTCATTTTCCTCATAAGTCAGGGTTATTTTGTGTGAATATACCTGAGTTAGAAAGTTAATTTTTATCTCTTTTTTTAACACCTCACCACCACCACTTTCTTTAGTGGTGACCCATTTTCTTTGGATATATTCCAGTGCTTAGAGCAACTTATACAGGCCAGTATTCAGTTAGGCTCACAATTTTTTCTTGATGCAAAAGAACACAGAGTTTTAAAGGCCTAGCTGTCTAATCAGCCGTTTCCCATTTTGAGTGTGAAAGTAAATAGCCTAAATGAGCCAACAAAACCATCTTTCTGTCATACTCCCGAAGAGTATAGTGAGGGGAGCGCTGACTTTGGAGGGAGAGGGTCTGGATTTGGGTCTCCATTGAGACACGTAGTCACTTTGTGACTTTGAGAAAATGTGTAACCTCCTTGAGACCCATGTTCCCCATCTAAAAAGTAAGGCTAATGCCACCTGCAAAGTCCATGAGGGTCAAATGATAGTGGTTTGATACTTCAACTCCTTCCTGCTTTTCTCCCTTCCCATGCCGATTGTGATCCCCTAAATTGCATCTGTGGTTGGTGGGCTTTGGCCCACAGTTCAGAAAACACTGCTGCATGAACAGCTTCATTTACGGTGTGTTATTATCATGTTTTTAAAGCAGGTTTGCCTAAATAACCAAAAATTACTGTTTTCCTCTCCACCCTCCCACAGCCCCCACCCCCCAGTCTGTATATATTGTTTTCTTTTTCTACCATTCATACTCCTCATGGTAAATTGGGGTAAATAATAACTCCTACCTCATAGGCTTGTTGGAGGATTGAATGCCTACCGTAATCAGTCATTGGCAATAATGCTATTATTTAAAGTGATAAATAATCACTGGAAGCTAGTTAGCTTCCAGCTCTTAGTTATCTATATTTCACTTGCTCTATCAAACTTCGGGCTCTTGATTTTAAAATACTGCCTGTGAAGGGGCACCTGGGTGGCTAAGTGCGACTCTTAAGTGTGACTCTTAAGCCAAAATTGTGGCTCAGGTCATGATCCTCACGGTTATGAGATCAAATCCCTCACTGGATGTGGATCCTGCTTAAGATTCTCTCTCTCTCTGCCCCCTTCCCCACGTATATGCTCTCGCCTTCTCTCTCTTTCAAAATAGTAATAATAATAATACTATTGTTATTATTACTACTACTACCGTATGGGGTTTTGCTACTTCCGGGTCTGTGCCGGGTGCTGGATTCACTTCCAGATTTCCAACACTTCTTTCTGGTGGGGTAGAGAAGCTAACTTAAGTAATTCTGTGTCTGCCAGCGCCTGTCCTTTCCTGTTGTTACTGCTTCCCAATCACAGGTGCTGGTGCTTATCATTTTTATTGAGCCACCTGTCTGCCAGGTGCTGTCCTTGAAGTGCAAGAACATGTAAATACACAGTCCCTCCCCACGCGGAGCTCCTGGGCTAAGGGAGCCTGCGACAGAAGGTAGAGAGTATGTGCTGTTTTCAAACATTTAGATCCCTTGAAAGACATTCTCCTTGAAATCTCGATTTAATAATTCCTTTGCTTAGCAAATACTGTTTGTGAACTTGTGAGTCCTGATGCCAGGGATACAAAGATGATTCAGACACGGATCTTGATCATCAGTGTTTTCCAAAGAATAAAACATTTATTTGTGGTGGTAGGATGGTTTTAGATGATATGTCACGTTGTTAATTGTAACTAGCACGTCAAACGTGCAATTTCATGCATTTTTTTTTTTTATTTACATCCAAATTAGTTAGCATATAGTGCAGCAATGATTTCAGGAGTAGATTCCTTAATGTCCCTTACCCATTTAGCCCATCCCCCCTCCCACACCCCCTCCTGTAACCCTGTGTTTGTTCTTCATATTTAAGAGTCTCTTCTGTTTTGCCCCCCTCCCTGTTTTTATATTATTTTTGTTTCCCTTCCCTTATGTTCATGTTTTGTGTCTTAAAGTCCTCATATGAGTGGAGTCATATGACACTTGTCTTTCTCTGACTGACTAATGTCACTTAGCATAATAGCCTCCAGTTCCATCCACATAGTTGCAAATGGCAAGATGTCATTCTTTCTGATTGCCGAGTAATACTCCATTGTGTATCTATACCCCATCTCTTTTATCCATTCATCCATCAATGGACATTTGGGCTCTTTCCATACTTTGGCTATTGTTGATGGTGCTGCTATAAACATGCATGTGTCCCTTCGAAACAGCACACCTGTATCCCGTGGATAAATGCCTAGTAGTGCAATTGCTGGGTCGAAGGGTAGTTAGATTTTTACTTTTTTTAAGGAACCTCCATACTGTTTTCCAGAGCAGCTGTGCCAGTTTGCATTCCCACCAACAGTTAAAAGAGATCTCTCTCTCCGCATCCTCGCCAACATCTGTTGTTGCTTGAGTTGTTAATGTTAGCATTCTGACAGGTGTAGGTGGTGTCTCATTGAGGTTCTGATTTGTATTTCCCTGATGATGAGTGACGTTGAGCATTTTTTCATGTGTCGGTTGGCCATCTGGATGTCTTCCTTGGAGAAGTGTCTATTCATGTCTTTTGCCCATTTCTTCACTGAATTATTTGGTTTTTGGGTGTTGAGTTTGATAAGTTCTTTATAGATTTTTGGATACTAACCCTTTATCTGATATGTCGTTTGCAAATATCTTCTCCCATTCCGTCAGTTGCCTTTTAGTTTTGCTGATTGTTGCCCAATTTCATGGATATTATTAAGAAAAGTGAAAGTGGGTATTTTAGGATAAACCAGGTGAGTTGTTTTGAAGAAAAATACTTAAATTCTTTTTTTTTTTTTAATTTTTTTTCAACGTTTTTTATTTATTTTTGGGACAGAGAGAGACAGAGCATGAACGGGGGAGGGGCAGAGAGAGAGGGAGACACAGAATCGGAAACAGGCTCCAGGCTCTGAGCCATCAGCCCAGAGCCCGACGCGGGGCTCGAACTCACGGACCGCGAGATCGTGACCTGGCTGAAGTCGGTCGCCTAACCGACTGCGCCACCCAGGCGCCCCTTAAATTCTTAATTGTGGTAATATTTTGATTTGAACAAATGGTAAAGGGTGATTAGGAGAGCCCTGATTGAGGGAGACTGAGGGACACATGAGGACTTCATCATTAAGAGGGGCTTTATGGGGTGCCTGGGTGGCTCAGTCGGTTAAGCGTATGACTTTGGCTCTGGTCATGATCTCACGGTTCATGAGTTTGAGCCCCGCGTCAGGCTCTGTGCTGACAGCTCAGAGCCTGGAGCCTGCTTCAGATTTTGTGTCTCCCTCTCTCTCTCTCTCTGCCCCTCCCCTGCTTTGTTCCGTCTCTCTCCCTCTCTCTCTCTCTCTCTCTCTGTCTCAGTCAAAAATAAACCTAAAAAAAAAAGGGAACTTTAGCTAAAGCTCCCTGGGATCATGACCTGAACCAAAATCAAGAGTTGGACACTTAACCGACTGAGCCACCCAGGTGCCCTCAAATCAATCCTATTTCTTTTCATTTTTTTAGTTTATTTATTTTGAGAGAGAGAGCATGAGCAGGGGAGGGGCAGAGAGAAGGAGAGAGAAAGAATCCCAAGCAGGCTTCACGCTGTCAGCACAGAACCCAATGCAGGACTGAGCTCCTGAACTGTGAGATCAACCGAGAGTCAGACACTTAGCTGACTGAGCCACCCAGGCACCCCCAAATCAATCCTATTTTATTAGAAGTCTGTGTTGTGGTAAACGTTGATTTTTCAAAATAGTAGCATTACCTGAATAATACTTGACTGTGAAAAGCTGCATTTTCTAGAATATTCATTGAAGCATGGCAGTGAAGTTGGAAAAGACTAACAGTAACAGGCTAAAATGTTGGCACAGAGTGATAGTACGTTGTCATTACAAGTGATGATGTAGGTGTGGATGTGACACAGAGAGACAGCATCCAGGTAAGTGGGGGGGTGGGGGGGCGGCATGGGGATTAAAAAGTCAGTAATGAAAACCCTAAAGGATGCGCTAATGTGTTAACCGTGGTTCTCTCTTTAGCTGCTGGGATTTCAACAAATTCTTTTTGCCCTCCCAGCATGTTCTAATTATGAAATAAACCTCGGTGCCTTTTTTCTTAATAGGGGAACATTAAATTTTACATTTTCTTTGTACAAGGAATGGTATAGCATTTCTGATGTGATTGTGATTTCTTCTCTGACAGGTGTGGGGGCACGGTTGGTGCTATTTTCACTTGTCCGCTGGAAGTCATTAAGACACGGTTGCAGTCTTCCAGATTAGCTCTTCGGACAGTCTATTATCCTCAGGTTCATCTGGGGACCATTAGTGGGGCTGGAATGGTGAGACCAGCATCGGTGACGCCTGGGCTCTTCCAGGTTCTGAAGTAAGTTCCCTCCCCTTCTGGACCCCTGCCCCTGCTCTCATCGGGCCCGTCAGATGAGACGGTCCGCTTGCAGTCTCTGTCCAAACTGAAGAATCTGGTTCCTGTACCAGAACCTTTGAGCTCTGACCTCCCCTGGCAGTGGGGCTGCCTGTGATCATCCGGCGATGGTCAGAGTAAACCTAAGAGAGCAAACCAAAAATCCATGTTGAAAGTGTTGCATCAGAGTTGCTCTTGCCCCAGATCTTTTGAGGGCCAGCAAGATCTGGGGTGGCAGAGTGAAGTTAAAAATGTTAAAGCTGCACCAGAGAAGTGTTGTGACTATTTTAAGAGAAAATAACACAGAAACAAAATGTTTGAGGTTTTTTTACTTTTTGTTTGGAGATCATTTACTTTTACAGAAAAGTTGCAACACCTGTTTGGTGAAATTGTTTTTTCCCGTGTTTGTTTAATACTGAGGCTGCCTTCGTGGTGTATTATTTTTACTGCATTAAATATGTCTTATTTGATTACAAAGTGGCTAAACATTCATAGGCTGAATTTGGCTTATTAGTCTCTATGCTTAAGGCAGAAGCAGAAATTCAGAAGGGCACCTGGCAATGCCGGCGTTTTAGTGGGGGGCTGTGTACTTGAAAAGAGGTGCCGTTGAATTGAGCTAAACGTGGTTGTCAGACCTCTGAGACATCACTGGGAAAGGGTGTGTTCAAGGAAGACAACGCTGCTTATCATTGTAGATGTTTACTGGGGAAACCTCAGAAAAAGATGCCATAAAATGGAAATGTTCTGTCTTAATAACCCCATCACTTAGCACTTTGGACAGAATTCAGTCACATTTCAGATAAGGTGGAATGAATTGGAAAGTGGTTCATTTATTTTTAGGGACATTTTGTTTGTAAAGTCTACTGATGAGTCACCCAGATGTCCATGCCAGACATGTGTATGAAGGAGCCTCTGAGTTCATTGAGCAAAACTGGACAGCAAAACCAGCCGCTGAGGGCAAGGACCCAAGTGAGAGAATCAGCTAGAGAAAAAGGAGGCTGGTCCCCAAGACTCCAGGAGGATCAGCTAGTTCAGATAAACACCCAGGACAGGAGTGGAGACGTGAAAGGCAGAAAGCCTGCCTGGAGGTAGGCCCGGGAAAGAGAAACACAGAGACATGGAGGTAGCACTTCGAGATCAGTAGAGAGAGAGACAAGTCCGCATCCTTAAATCCATGGCTGTGAAAACATCCCCATCCTGGTTTGCCTTCTTATATGTTTGGGCGGTGGCAGTGTCTCAAATGACACCTTTCTTCTGAGGAACACAAAGTGCTTTGGACATAATGAGACAGACAGGTAATTTGCCAACTTTACTGACATCCAAAAAGAACTTCCTCTTAGGTGCTTGCCAAATAACTCATGACAAGTAGATTTATATACTTACAGTAACTGGGAACTGTTACCCAGAAGTTGTGGGTATCAGCAGGGCCACGCATGTGGCATGAGGATATTTCTCCAGTTGAAGTTTCTAGGGTGTCTGTTCTATATCTCGGGTATCTGTCTCTCCGTCTCTTGTAAATCTCTGCTCTGTCTCTGTCTGCCTGTCTCTCTATATGTATGTCCTCCCCCCCGCAAAATGGGCACAATTATGTATTAAAATGTAAATCAAAGGGAAAAAAGCCTGTCCATCTTGTAAAATACAGGAACAGTGCCCACATCACACTACACACAAGACAATTTGTTTCCACTGTGGACCCAAAGCAGCCATCAGTTTGTGCAGCCTCAGCTACACAGAAAAGAGCCGTCACTGATACGTGAATACTATTTTTTTTTAATGTTTGTTTATTTTTGAGACAGACACAGCATGAGCAGGGAAGGGGCAGAGAAAGAGGGAGACACAGAATGTGAAGCAGGCTCCTGGCTCTGAGCTGTCAACACAGAGCCAGACGTGGGGCTTGAACTCACGAACTGTGAGATCATGACCTGAGCCGAAGTTGGACGCTTAACCGACTGAGCCACCCAGGCGCCTCGACACGTGAATACTTTTTAAAACCGCTTATTCTATATTCACGTCAAAATAGGAGTAATGGAAGTATTAAGTAAAATTTTTGTCATAGTGATATTTTGTCAGAAAAGTATTTGTAAAGTGGCATTTTTCACCCAAGAGCTGTTTCGTTAAGCCTTATGCCCTCAACTTGGTGTATATATAGTTTTAAGATTCTCAACTGATATTTATTAGCTCTCAAGTTAAAAAATGACTACGCTTATGTGGTATTATCTCATCGATTTTTCACAAGAACCCTGAGGTTAGCACCCTGGCGTGGTGTTACCCCTGTTTTATGACGAGGAAAGGCAAATCGACTTGCTCAGTGTCGTTCCGTGTACATTCACCTGTTTCTGAGAACGACTGGAAGCAGCTAAGAGTAGACAACGGCAGGCCCCCTGACCCTACGCCGCTGCCGCGTGGAGACGGCCGAGTTCCAGCCAGAGTCCCCCGGGACCACAGTCCCGCCTCCCCGGCCGCTGCCTCTGCTCCGCCTCCGAGTCTCCCGATGACCTCTTGATGTTGGAGGGCCCCGGGGCTCCTCTGGTGGCCCCTGCCCTAGCGGCAGCCCCTCCTTCTGGGAGTGGATCACATTGAGTCTTGCGGCTTTAAGTGCCATCTGTAAGCTGACCGTGTCTCTCCTCCGAGCCTCGCACGTTAGTCCCCCTGCCTGTTTGCTCGGGTGTTTAGCGGGCGTCCAGAGTGGAACCTGTGCACCACTGAACTTCCCCAAACCTGCTGCCCCCAGGGTCTTGTCTGTGTCCATCAAAGGCAACGCCATCCTTCCCTCTGTGCGGATCTGAAGCCCAGAGTCATCCTGAGATTGTTCTCACGGTCTCACGGGAAAACCTCCCAACTCCGCCTTCAGAGTGCGTGCAGGCTCTGACCCCTTTGCGCCACTCGCTCCGCCACTGTCCTGATGGAAGCCGCCATATTTCACCGGTGTTAGTGGTCTCCCCCACCCCCGCCCCTACCCCAGTCCTCAGTGTGTGTTGCTCCGCAGAGCAGTCGGGAGGTCTTTGGCTCAGATCTCTCCAGGGGCTGTCCTCTCCCTCCGAGGAAAAGCCAAAGTTGGTCACCTCACTCCCCTCACGAGGTCTCCAGCAGGTGCCACCCCTCCCTGACTTCTCCCTACTTCACCTCTGCGTGGCCTGCCCGCGACCCGCCTCACATGGCCTCCTGCTGTCCTCTTCAGAGTCTTTTTTCAACTGGGAACATTGGAACATTTTCCCGAAGGCCTTTGTATCTGTGGCAGACATCTGATTGTTCATACAAGCTCTTTAGTCGGGAAGGACCTTGCGTGCTTTATTTAAAATAGTTTCCCTCCACCCCATCCTTCTTCCTGCTCTATTTTTGTCTACAGCGCTCACCCCCATCCAGCAGTGTGGTTTACATATTTATATTGTTTATTTCCTTCTCCTCCCCACCAGAAGGGAACCTTTGTTGGTTTTGGTCCCTAAGAGGTGTCCCCTCACCCAGAATGTCGCTGCCTACAGCCGCGCAGTGTAGAGCTTTAGTACAAATCGAATGAATGAATTTTGGCCTCTTGGGAAGATCATGAGTAAGTGACTTACAGACACACACACACACACACACACACACACACACACACACACACACACACACACACACACACGTGCCCTGCCTTGTAAAGAATACTGACTGCTGGCCTTGGGTGGCTCAGGTCGTAGGGAGTCCCACCTTGGCTGTGGTCACTATCTGACAGTTTGTGAGTTCCAGCCCTGCGTCGGGCTCTTTGCTGACAGCTCGGAGCCTGGAGCCTGTTTTGGATTCTGTGTCTTCCTCTCTCTCTGCCCCTCCCTTGCTCATGCTGTGTCTGTCTGTCTCTCAAAAAAAAAAAAAAACATTAAAAATTAAAAAAAAAGAATACCGACTGCTGTCACAATAGGTACCTCCTGTGCTTTTTTAACATGATTTACGACTGGGTTTTCTGGTGGCCAAGGCAAAAAGGGAAATCTCTATCGTATTACATAATTCTTGTCTGAAGAAAGCATACTTGCTCTTTGGGGGAAGTGTGTATCTTTCCCTGTTGCACGTTCCGAAAGCAGTCTGTTGCTCAGCACTGGCGTGGAGAGAGAGAGCGCCGGCCTGAGAGGTCTTTCAGGGTGGCCCAGGAGACCCTGACGACTTTGCTCTCTGCCACTCTCCGCCTCTCTCCGCCTCCACCCTGGTCAAAGCGCCCCCTCCTCCTGCACCTAGATCATTAGGTAGCTTCCTCCTTCCTCCGTTGACGCGGCTGAGCTAAGGGCAGCGATGATGGTCCGCAGACAGGGCTTTTGACCTGCTAAGTGACAGGTGTCCGGCCTTTTCTCTAGACCACAAAGCCCGGCAAGGTTCGCAGTTTTAGAAGCACTGCTACCGGAAACCCAAACGAATAAAATGGTTATTCATTTAAAACTCAGCACCTTCTCTCTAGTCTTATCTCTCAGGCGGTGCCACTTTAGAAGACTTAACAGCCAACAGACTTTGTTTACGGGGAGTTTATTTTTCAAGCTGCAAGTCAGTGTTTGCGTGTGTCTCATGTAAGGAAAGAAAGAATCCTCCGTTGAGCACCAGTAACCTTCACGTTTTTCATAGTTACTTTAAAAAGGCAAGATGCTAGCATATTTAGGCTCTATTAGATTTGCTAAAGGGAGTATTAATATATCCGTTTTATCTCTGAGGTCTGCTTTTAAAACAATCTTGTAAGTTAATCTTTTTTTTTTTCTTTTCAGTCAGAGCTCCTATTCTGTAAACTACGCCGTCATTACCTTATTTTTATTTTTTCAGGTACCTTTTTTAATCTGTAAAGTAATTTATTAGCGAGCTAGTCTCTATCTTGTAAAAACTTAGGTACCTGTTCCGATGAGATCTTTGTTCTGGATTAGTCCGTAGTATGCGTGCTGTGATTTAAAACTAGTGAAGACAAGGAAATGTTCCAAACAAGACCCTAATTTCCTTTTGTATCTCTTTTCTACATG